TCTCCTTTTCTTAGCTCGCTGTCCTTGCAGCTGGGAGTGAGTCAGCATTCGCTCGGGTGAATTTTAGCACCTGAAGGTAAAGGAGCGAAGTACAGCACCTCTGCAGAGCCTCATGGCCTTGCTGGGGTGTTAAATGCTTTTAATTGAGGAATGGTTTTGTTTCTGAGAATGTGACTGGAAATAGGTTTAAACTGGGGGGTGATTGGGCAAGTGATGAAGCAAAGGAGCTCTGAGCAGTTCTGTGTTGGGGCTGGGGAGAAGGAGGCGCTGGCTTTACCTTCCCTGGACTGCTTTAGCTCTTGAAGCACTGCTTAAATGAGGAGGCAAAAAGTAATTAAGGTGTTGGGAAGTCAAAACTCTCAGAAGGACGTCGGTACAAAACCATCAACCAGAGTGGTAATCGTACGGGAGCCTTCTCCCTTTTTTCCAGGTCAGCCTTAGTGACGAAACGGCAGCTGAGGTGGCTCTTGCAACGTGTCAGGGATGTAGGAAGAGTTTTTATTCATATGCTGTAGCTTCATTAACAAAAATACATCTGGAATAGCATCAGGTGTCCCTTCTTCCCTTGGGGTTTGTGCACAGCTGTGGCTGGCTGCGTCCTTAGAGGACAGGAAGGTTGGGCAAAGTCTAAAACCATGAGTGCCTGCAATGGGGAGATTCCCCTCTGCCAGGGCTGTGGTTTCAGGTGTAGCTGCCTGAGGAAGCAGTCACTGCAATGACACTGTGTAGCTGTTGGATATTTGGAGTCAGCATCTCCACACCACGACTGAGCAGGAAATTCCCCAGCGTGGAAGAGCTGCGAGTGAAGCAGGAGCTGGTGGGAACCCTTGAGATCCGTGAGACCCTCAGCTCTGCTCATGGCCAAGGTGATGCTGGGGTGTCCCAGAATCACAGAGCGTTAGGGGTTGGAAGGGACCTCCAAAGCTCATCCAGTCCAATCCCCCTGCCGGAGCAGGAACACCCAGATGAGGTTACACAGGAAGGCGTCCAGGCGGGTTTTGAATGTCTGCAGAGAAGGAGACTCCACAACCTCTCTGGGCAGCCTGGGCCAGGGCTCTGTCACCCTCACTGAGAAGAAGTTTCTTCTCGAATTGAAGTGGAACCTCCTGTGTTCCAGTTTGTGTCCGTTACCCCTTGTCCTATCATTGTTTGTCACCGAGAAGAGCCTGGCTCCATCCTCGTGACACTCACCCTTTAAATATCCTGCACAACCAGGGTGAAACTCGCTGCAGGTGACGAACCACTGCTGGAAAACACCACGAGCCCAAAACGCTCTTGTTCCTGTTATAAATTTTGTGGATACAAGGGCACTTGGGAGAAAAAGAGCTAATGGAGAGAGAACCGGCTAAGCCAGAAGTGCAGCTGCAGGCAGAATTAAGGCCATTATGTGAAATCCTCCCCTCGCTTTAAAATTTAATTTCTGCCTTGCAAAGGAAGGTTCGTGAGGCCTTTTAAATTCATAAGGCTTTAAGCTGTAAAAATGGATGTTGCTCAGGGAAGAGATTAATGATCTGCTGCAGCCCTGCTGGGTGCACTATCCAGCTGGGAAGTAGCGTGGCTTTAACCTTTCTAGTTTCCCACTTCAAATCTTCATATTTAAAATTTGCTGTACAAAAGCTGTCGGATTTTGAGGGTGGGTGATGCGATTGTCTCCAAAACAAAACACCTCCAAATAATGCAAGTCAAAATGAGCCTTGTGCTGCTGATATTTACGTGAGCTGGTGGTGACTGTGCCGTGGTTTTTCAGCTCGGCTCCACGGCCATCGGGATCCAGACCTCGGAGGGCGTCTGCCTGGCCGTGGAGAAGAGGATCACGTCCCCGCTGATGGAGCCCAGCAGCATCGAGAAGATCGTGGAGATCGATTCCCACATTGGTAAGGAGAAAGAAATCAGCTTTATATATTTATAAATCAATATTCTGCTGCATCTTCCCCCAGCGCTGGGTTCCCCTGTGGAGGGGATCAATGAATTCCCCTTCAGTTTTTCTTAGTTATCCCCTCTTGGAAGGCCTCAAATGTGGCTCCTTTAACCTGTTTAGATTTGAGGTGGGTGGGAGAAGTCAGTTACGTTCCTGCCCTGCAGCTGGGGGCCCATCCTTGCTGTCTTCTGGGAGCATCAGAAGCAGCGTTTTGGGGCCGCCGAGCCCAGCGGGGAATGCTCATCACAGAATCACAGAATGGCTCAGTTGGAAAAGCCCTCTGAGATCATCACGTCCAACCGTTCCTGTCTACCCCCTAAACCATATCCTTAAGTACCTCGTCTACCCGCTCTTTAAACACATCCAGGGATGGTGACTCCACCACCTCCCTGGGCAGCCTGGTCCAGCTTCTGACGACCCTCTCAGGAAAGAACTTCCTCCTTATCTCTGACCTGAACCTCCCTTGGCACAGCTTGGTGCCGTTTCCCCTTGTTCTATCCCCCATCACCTGGGAGAAGAGCCCAGCACCCACCTCTCCACAACCTCCCTTGAGGCAGTTGTAGGTGGTGATGAGGTCTCCCCTCAGCCTTCTCTTCTCCAGGCTAAACAAGCCCAGTTCCCTCAGCCGCTCCTCATCAGGCTTGTTCTCCAGAGCCCTCCCCATCCTTGTGGCTCTTCTCTGAACACGCTCCAGAATCTCAACATCCTTCTTCTAGTGAGGGGCCCAGAACTGAACACAGCTCATCCCTCCCAGTGCACACCAGCCCCTGGTCACTGGTTTTCCAGGCTCCAGGCCAGCAGGACATAGTTACAGGAGCAGGAAGAGGCAGCTGAAGCACCCCCCCGCTCCCCGCCTCAGTGACCTCCCTCATGAAGGCTTATCCCAAATTTAGATCTGGGAGAGCAGGGAATTACTGCGAAAGGCTTGACTCCAGGCCAGTTGCTCTCGGAGCACTAATGTTAGCCTGAGCCCCTGCTCACAGCAGCCTCCTGCGCTGTGAGGGGGCCCGCCACGGGCTCATGACCAAATATGTCGCCTTGAAAAGCAGGAGACCTCCAAAATACCCACGTTGCTGCTGCCACGGGGCATGGAAGGAGCTTCTGGAGAGTCCAATTTCCTCCTCTTGTGTGCCTGTGTTACAGCTCCTCTTCCTGGAGCAGGGTCTGTGCTGGAGGCTCCTGCTGCATCTTCCCCCAGCGCTGGGTTCCCCTGTGGAGGCGATCAATGAATTCCCCTGAAGTTTTTCTTAGTTATCCCCTTTTGGAAGGCCTCAAATGTGGCTCCTTTAACCCGTTCAGATTTGGGGTGGGTGGGAGAAGTCAGTTACGTTCCTGCCCTGCAGCTGGGGGCCCGTCCTTGCTCCTGAGCAAATCTGTGTTGATCCCATCCTTTCCTTTTCCATCTCCTTCCTTTCCAACAAGCTGAGTCGTGGCAATGCTGTGTGCTCCCACGCACGGCCCCGCTCTGCCCTGCAGCTTTTTGTGTTTCACTGTGGGCTTTGGGCAATCTGGGGGTGAGAATACATCACAAAAATGAGTGAAATAACTCGTGTTTCCCCTCTCTCGTTCCAGGGTGTGCCATGAGTGGCTTAATAGCTGATGCAAAGACTTTAATTGATAAAGCAAGAGTGGAGACTCAGGTGAGACTTGACATTTCTCTTCTTAAAACACCACCACCAGGCTCCGAGCTGTCTCAGAAGTCTCCTTCCAGCCAAGGAGCTCGTGGAGAGGGAGGATTACAGGGGGTGCAGCTTCCCTCAGGGGCTTTTGCAGAACAGTGAAGTCTCCCCTGTATTTTTTTCCCTTCTTTAATATTGCACATTTGGTGGGAATCTTATGGCAGGGTCTCCAGTGGTCTCGTAGCACTGGTGGATGTGCTCCAGTGAACGTGTGGGGCTGTGTGTGTCTGAATCTGTGCTGACAAAAGACTGGTTGTGTTGGTTATATTTTTGCTCCCATAAATGTACTTGATGCCTCAGGTGCTCAGAAGTCCCGGGTCCAAATCTCTGCGCTGTAGCAAAGATTTTCCTGTGAGGTTTTCCCACGTCTCAGCACTTTTCCTGCCTCTGGAGAACCAGATAACCCCATCGCTTCACAGATGCTGGGATAAAGTGCTCTGCGTGTTCCCTGTTGGCATCCCAGGGCCTAGGTTATCCCCAGCTTTTTGGGGGGATCCCTGCACAAACTTCCCAGCTTCTTCTGCTCTTCCCTCTGTGTCCCAGGTGCCAGCAGCCGCCCTGAGGGTGCTGGAAGGAAATTGTCTTGGTGGCCATGCAGGTCATCGCTCCAGCCCCGTGTGTGAACGATCCAGGACTGTCGTATTTAGGGAACAAGTTGATAATTTGAATCTTTATTTGATTTTTTTTCCCTTGCAGAATCACTGGTTCACCTACAACGAAACCATGACAGTGGAGAGCGTGACACAGGCCGTGTCCAACCTGGCGCTGCAGTTTGGGGAGGAGGACGCAGACCCAGGGGCGATGGTGCGGAGCTCTGGGGGGGGCTCTGGGGGTGCAGTTGGTTCCCCTCTGACTTTGCCCTGGCCTTGCCTAACCCATTGGCTCCTCTCTGTTGCAGTCTCGTCCGTTTGGTGTCGCGCTGCTTTTTGGAGGAGTCGATGAGAAGGGACCCCAGCTGTAAGTTCATCTCTTAATCCACACCAGCTCTGGGAAGAGACAAAACGCCTACTGGAGCTTCCCAGGACGCTTTAATGACTTGATTCTGGGATTTTCCTTAAGCCAAACACTCGGGCTTTATCCCATTATGTACCTGATGTGTTTGTTAATGCGTTCAAACCCTTCTCTTCAAAGCATGGGTTGTGAGCATGGGCTGCTTGTTCAGGGTTGAAGATAACGCTGTGCCTTCACTGAACCCTTGCTTTTTTAATGTGGTTTTCTAGGCGGGAGGGAGGCGTTAAAGCTCTCCTGGTCCTGAGTTTATTCTTACCTTTAGGACTAGCAGAGTCCATGGTAACATAATACGTGGAGCCCGCTGTAACATTCCTCGGGGAGGTGGTGGAGCAGCTGTAACCTGAACTGGTGTGCTTCAAACACGGCACAGCCACCCCAATAAGGTCTCCCTCCCAGGAGCAGTAGCGTAAACCTGCTGGTTTTATTAAAGAAATAAGTTAAGGGGGGAAATAAAAAGGAAAACTGAGTATGGAGGGCAGTGTCGGGGGTGTAGAGCTCTCCTTGTAGCTTCCCAGCCCAGTGGGTGTCTGCAGGTGGCTCTGGCACCCCTCAAACCTTGGTCTCTGCATGCCAGGAGGAGAGAGCTGCTGCTGCCAGAATCGCAGTGGCCCAGGGCCGCTGGGTATATGAGGAGGCTGGACACAGCGAGGGGTTGCTGCGAGCTCTGCCTGCGTCGCTGCTGAGGGGTCCCTGCTCCAAGCTGTGCAGGGAGCGCTGGGGGGCTGGAGGGGCAGCCCCTGGGTGCAGCAGTGTGGGACGGGGTGCAGCAGCCGCTCACTGTCTCGCCCGTGTTCCCACAGGTTTCACATGGACCCCTCGGGGACGTTTGTTCAGTGCGATGCCAGAGCCATCGGCTCCGCCTCGGAAGGCGCACAGAGCTCTCTGCAGGAGGTTTACCACAAGGTAAAAGGCAGAGCTGGGGCTGACAACCTCGCACGTTACGGGGATAATTCACAACCTACAAGGATCCACTGGATCCCTTCCCGACGAGCGATTTGTAAGGCCCCTCTTGTGCCGCAGAGGAGGTGCAGGGCCTCCTCAGGGTGGGACTGGGTCCTTGGCAGTCGATCCTGTGCTTAACGTCAGCGCTGAGCTGCGGGTGAGGATCCCACAGCCAGCGCTCCCCCCTGCAGCTGAACGCCAGCCCGCTGTCAGTGATGCTGCTCCCGGCCTGCAGCGGGTGATAATTAAGACCATGTCAGGAAGAGCTCTATAAATAAGAGAGCTGCTGTACAGTGCCGCTGGTCGGCGTCAGGACTCGGTGTGGACACGGCCTGCGCAGAGCGAATTAAAGCAGGCGGCTGCTTTTCATCAGATCTGCTAAGCCACCGAAGTGAAGGGCTTTTGGGCTGCCAGTGCTGTTTGATATTAAACAGCAGCTTCCTTCGTGAGGGGGAAGCTGCCCCTTCTGTGTGTGAGAAACCAAACGCTGTCACGAAAAGCACAATTGCTGTGACGATTTCCAGCCGAAGACTCAAAGATTTAATTTGCTCGCTACCAGAACTGTCCCAAGTTTTGGGTTTGTAACCACCTTCCAAGTGCAGAGTTGCTGCAAACGCAGCTCTCGTCACCCTTTCGCTGTTGCTCCACTTCCTCTCGTGCAGGGATTTATGTGATTAAAGCACAAAGGCCTCTGCCAAGAGGGAACCCGGCTTTTCGGAGCTCCCGCTGGAGCTCATTGGGACGAACTGGTTGATAGTAACTGGTGAAGGGAAAGGGACCCTCGTGTCCCCATCCCGACAGGAAGGTTTATGTGCCCAGATTAACAGTTCTTAAGCTTGGTAAAAAGTTAAACAGAAGCAGAAAGTCGCCATCCTCGCAATTGTCGCTGCCCTGCCTGGACAGCGCGCTTTGATCTCTTGTTGATACTGCAGATAACTTGATAAGCTTTTAAGTTTGCTGCCAGTGACAGCTCAAACGGCTTCGGGAGGAGCGGGAGGGAGAGCAGCGCGCTTCTGCAAAGGGCTAAGGTACAAGTGGGTGCTTGAGCCTCAGCAGTGCCATCGACGTTTTGTTTTACAGTCAATGACGCTGAAAGAAGCGATCAAATCTTCCCTCGTCATCCTGAAACAAGTCATGGAGGAGAAGCTGAACGCCACCAACATCGAGGTAACCGCGCCGCTGTTAGCGACTGCGATGTGGAGCAGGGGTCCGCGCTGCCTGTGGTCTTTGCGAGCATCTCAGTGGCATCTTGCATTTGAAACGTCCAGTTAAGAAGCTGCCTGCTTGCTTTTGGTAGAGAGGGGCTGCCTCTGAGCAAGGAATGGAGCAGTTTAGGACTTCCCGAGCCAATGGCTGCAGGTGTCACAGAATCCCAGAATGTTAGGGATTGGAAGGGACCTCCAAAGCTCATCCAGTCCAATCCCCCTGCCGGAGCAGGAACACCCAGATGAGGTTACACAGGAAGGCGTCCAGGCGGGTTTTGAATGTCTGCAGAGAAGGAGACTCCACAACCTCTCTGGGCAGCCTGGGCCAGTGCTCTGTCACCCTCACTGAGAAGAAGTTTCTTCTCCAATTGAAGTGGAACCTCCTGTGTTCCAGTTTGTGTCCGTTACCCCTTGTCCTATCATTGTTTGTCACCGAGAAGAGCCTGGCTCCATCCTCGTGACACTCACCCTTGAAATATTTCTAACCATGAATGAGGTCTCCCCTCAGTCTCCTCTTCTGCAAACTAAAGAGCCCCAGCTCCCTCAGCCGCTCCTCAGAAGGGAGATGCTCCACTCCCTTGATCATTTTGTCCTTGTGTCTTCGAGCTGCCCACTGTAGCGTGTTGTGTGTGGCATTTTGGAAAGGTTGCAGCTTCCTTTTGCCTCCTAGAGGCTGTGGCTGGGCCCCTTTCCCTGGCAGCAGCGATTTTGGGGGACTCCTGGCCATGGGCTGCAGCCCCTGCTGACCTTACACCGGCCAAGTCAGCCCGTGGCACCCTGACGTGCTGGCCACCATGGGCTGCAGCCCCTGCTGACCTTACACCAGCCAAGTCAGCCCGTGGCACCCTGATGTGCCGGCCGGATTTTCTTCCCCGGGGTTGAGCCATTCTTTTTTCTCCTGGTACTTGTAATATTAGAAGGAATGAAAATTATACAACTTCTGGACGTGCTATATTCAGTCTCGGGGCAGTGCCAAAAATCTGCTGGACGGGAGGACCCAAGAGGTGAAGCCTCCAGGAACAAACGCACTCCTCCAAGCCCTGGGTTTTGCCTGCGAGCAGCCAGACCTGATCTCTTGGAGATCAATTTGTAGTGGTACCTGTCCCCTTAAACCCCGCTCGTAATGCTCTTTTTTAGGAGGTAAAAAAGGGTAAAGCCCGTGCAGTTCGTTAGTGATAATGGCTGGGTGATGAGCAAGGCTGGTGTATAGAGTTTGCTTCTATTTTGGGTGGGGTATGAGACACTGGACCTTTCCAAATCCTCATTCCAGCTCCTGAGCCGCTCTCCCATTCCTTTCCTGTGAGCGCTGGGAACCCCTTTCCCAAACAGCCTAAAAATGCACACCCCACATTTTTCATTCAATTCCACTGCCAGAAACTCTTCCTGACATCGCTAACCAGGGCTTTCTTGGGTGGGAAGGACCAATGACACAGTGAGAACTTGGATGCTCTGTCCAGAAATGATGCTGGGTGGTGGAAATGCACCTCCCCAGCTGCACAGATCCCTTCTCTCCTGACCAGGTCCAGGTCTCTTTTGGGAGATCCACAGTAGAGTGCGAAGAACCCGTGGCAGAGGAGCCCTGCGCTGTCCTCGTGTCACGTTCCCCTTTACTGGGGCTTAACTGTGCTTGGCAGAGCCCTGGGCTTGTTGAGGAATCGTGGCGGGGTTAAATATGACCAGAATGTGCTGAGGATCAAAAGGTCTCCATTGACTCGAGCCCCTCCTCTGCCTGGAAATCTCCCACCTGAAGGAGCTGCTTTGCTTTGCTTTGCTTTGCTTTGCAGCCTTTTTGAAAGATGTGGTGCTCGGGTTGATTTCCTGCAGCCCCTTCCCTCCCTTCTGGGGGATTTTCCATCCAGCAGCAAAGAGAAAAGGCGAAGTGTGGTCATGAGGAGTTAAACCTGTTGGCGGTGAAGGTCAGGAGCCTTAAATGAGCTCTTAAATTAATGACTTCCCTGTGGTGCCTGGAAGGGAAGAGTTGAGAAAAGCGCTGGTTTGTAGGTGGAGGTGAGGCACAGGTTTGAGCAGAGTAGAAAACCAGAGTGGTTGCTGTTTCTGAGTACCTGTTTGGGGTTTCAGGCTGTGGTTGGTGCCCCTGAATCCTTGTTTGGGGTTTCAGGCTGTGGTTGGTGTCCCTAAATCCTTATTTTGGGTTTCAGACTGTGGTTGGTGCCCCTGAATCCTTATTTTGGGTTTCAGGCTGCGGTTGGTGTCCCTGAATCCTTATTTTGGGTTTCAGGCTGTGGTTGGTGCCCCTGAATCCTTATTTTGGGTTTCAGGCTGTCTGTACATGTGTTGTCAAGTCCATTTGGGTCTTAGCATCAGGCCAGCACCCACACGGGTGCCTTCTGAGGGGCCTAATGTGACATCTGCAAGTGTCTGGTGTCTGAGCACGCCTGGGCTGTCAGGGGCTCTCAGCCTGAGTGTTTGGGACTTTTCTCCATGAAAAACGCTTACGGCTGCCCTCCCTCTACCCCAAAATTGCATCACATCACCCTGTGCTGTTTGATGGGTGCCTTTGCCAGCAGAGACGCTCTGGGATTCACCAGGACCCTCTGCAGCTCCAAATATTGCAACCAAACACTGATCCCTTCAGAGCAAAGATGCGTGCCCGGTGCCTGGGGCGAGGTCTGGAGCATCCCAGCTCCCTCCTGCATCTTCCTGCCCTCGTCTGCCCGCAGCAGCTGCTGAGCCGGGCTCTCACACCGAGTTGGGTGCCATCGAAAGCCTCTCCCGGTGTCGTCACTCCTGGAGCATCTCTCGTTCTGCTGCCCATGCAGCGGCTCAGCTGCCTGCCCTGGGTGCCACCCCCTCTGCCCCTCACGGAGATCTCCATCCCTTGCCTGCACAGGGCACCAGGCGGCTGCGAGGGGCACCGCGCTTCGCTTATTTTGGGGTTTGGTGACCAAAACGTGGCTTTGCCTCTGCCTCAGTTTCCCAGAGCCAACCCTTTTGCCATCCTGGCTCTCCTAAGGCGCATCACAGGCCGGGATTTGTACCCTTGGCAGGTTTTTGGAGGAGAAGGAGCCCTTGAGGGCTGCACTGAGCTGCAGCGGAGCGTTTAACGAAGGACTCTCATTAACGAGGTCTCTTTTCCCCCATCGAGCAGCAGAGCCTGCCCGTTCCCAACAGTCGCTGCTATGCGGAGCCTGAGTCAATTCAAAGCTATTCCTGCGGCAGGCGGCTATTTTAGGGCATCAAAGAGCGAGTTACGGGGGCAGGGATCCTGCTGGGCTGGCAGATCAGGCAGCAAGGAACAGCTGCTCCCGCTGTCCCCTGCCCCACGCTGTCCCCTCGCTTTTAACCCCTTGCTCCTTCTCTTCCAGCTCGCCACGGTGGAGCCGGGGATGAAGTTCCACATGTACACGAAAGAGGAGCTTGAGGAGGTCATCAAGGATATTTGAGAAGCAGAGAGACCCCCCCCTCCAAGGCTCCTTCCCGCCCCATCGGGGTTCCTCCCGGCGCCCGTGATTTTATTTTCCAGCAGCATCCGTAATTGCTCTTGAGGTTTTTTTTACAGTTTCTGTACATAACTGATCTCTACAACAAGAGGCGATGAGAATAAATCATTTTATTACTCTATGCTGGGTTCCTCATGGCCGGGGGGGGTGGATCCTTTAGCCCAAAATCGGGGGGGGCAGACGAGGGCAGCGTTGGAAATGGGCGCAGGGCGAAGCAGCTGCCGGGTTCGCTTTGCTGCGGTCGAGTCCCCGCTGCGGCAGGGGCCGGTCTCCCTCTCGTGGAGAGCGCGGTGCTATCGCATCCAGCTGTAATTTCCCATCAGTCTGCAAAAACATCTCGTTTGGGACCTGGTCAGCCCCATTTGGGCCATTCCCACTGTGGTTTTCATCTGTAATGGCTCACCTGGAGCTCTGGGAAGAAAATCCCCATCCAGGCTTGGGGTTTGCGTTTCCTGTGCCAGAGCAGAGCCCACTGAGCCTCCCTTGGCACATTCTGCAGGTACCACTTAATTTTTAGAGTGATTTCATCTTGACTGTCGAAAATTCCCCTCATTTACCTCCCAAGGCTTTTATTTCTCATTCTCCAGCAGACGTCTCTATCCACGCCCTCGAAACAGCAGCTGAGAATTAAAGATGGGTCTGGCGAGGGGAATAAGCCGAGATTAGCAAAGTATTTTCCTGCAAAATCACATCTGTGTGCTCGGTGAGGGTTTTGGGGGCTGGAAATCCAGCTCTGCTGCCCCGTGAAGGCTGCGGGGGCTGCTCTGCTCCTTCCCCTTTTAAGAAATGACAATTTCACGCTGAACAAAACCGCGTTGTTTGGTGTGGAAGGGACGGACGCGGCCTGTGCTGCTGCGGGAGGGGATCGCCCTGGGCAGGGAGGACATTTCCAATGCTATATTTGACCAAAATGAGTGACTTTCCTCTCATTTCAGCACCAGGGATCACTTGCCAGGCTCCAGTGGGCGTTTCACAGCTTGGCAAAGCCAAAACGACGCCGGCAAAGCGCAGCTGAGCTCTGCCCTGCCAACCGCTACCGTTTGCGGGAGGGAAAACACCGATCCCATTGGGTTTTTTTTTCCCCCTCTTGCCGTTTCCAGACGGATGCAGGAAGGGAAGGGGATGCCAGGCCCTCACAGGGGGCAGGTCCGTCCTTGCATGACCCCAATGTTCAGAGCAGCCCCAGCGCCCTCCTCTCCCTGCTGTGAGTTTCCCCTCTTTGCGTAATGCTCTAAAGGAAATAAATGAGACCATCGGGCGATGAGGTGAGGGCTGAACCCATCACCTCTACCTGCAGGTCGATAACTTAATTAGTTGATGGACTTTCCCCTTCCGGGAGCCCTTCCTTGTAGCTTAAATGTGAGGAAATGAGCCCGATTTTGGCTGTGCCTGCTCCCTGTCCTGCTCCTTATCCCTGGTTTGGAGGCGGTGCTGGAGTGGGAGCTGCCCTGTCCGGAATAGCCAGGATGGGACCCAGGGCACCACCCTCGTAAAACCACTGCGTAAGTGAAGCCGGGGCTGCTATCGCTGGTTGTGAGGTTGTCAACGCCCTCTGAGTGCCTCAGAGCTCGATATCAGTGCTTGGTCGGGTTCTCTTCTCCTTCAGGAAGGAGCCAGATGGGTGTAAACCCCACGATCGCTGCTGTTCCTGCTCCTCCTGGGTTTGTTTGTGTCCTGGCAAACACAAAAAGCCGATTCTTCCTGCCAGAAAATGCCCCTTTATGCCCTGCCCTCATCACATGCTTTGCCGGTGCCAGCATCGCCCCAGCGGGTGAAAATCGGGGCTTTGTGCTCCTTATCTGATCCCTGCTGGGGGTTGAAATGCCAGGGCTCTCTCCAGAGGGACAACAGGAGAATTTGGAGGGACGTGAGGGCAATGGGGCCCTGGGTGCTCCCCCCATGGGTGCTCAGTGCCCTTTGCTTGCTTTTAGGACTTAGCCGAGCGATGCTGCCCATGCAGAGCTGGGTTTCCCTTGTGCCTTTCACGCATCAAATGCATAAATTGTCGTCTTAAATTATTTCTAGGGGGGTGGAGAGGGTGACACAGCATTAAAATGAAAAATCCCTGGGGTTTTTTTTTGCAAAGGAGACAGGACAAGGCTGAGCACCAGCTCCGTGGCTCCTGTTTGGGTGTTGGGGGGGTTTAACTCCCCCTGTGAAGCTGAAGCCCCCGGGCTGAGCCGCGGTGGGGGCTGTTGTGGTGCTTGGGAGGGGGGGCTCCAGGCGCCTCTGTGGCTGCAGGTATTGCACCAACGCTCCCGGGAAGGGCAGGGCC